GTCTAGGCTGAGAGAGTATCCCTCTATATGGAATGGGCTTCCAAAGTCCATTCCTTTACTAGGGATAAATACAGAGGCCCCATAGATTCCTGAGGCCTCCTCATTGACAACCACCATGTTCTGGGTGTCTGGATCTGTCATATGCTGGTTTCCCAGCTATCAATCTGGGTATCATGAGCTCCCCCTTGTTCAGGTGAGCTGTTTCTGTGGGTTTTACCAGCCTGTCTTGAACCCTAAGTTTATCACACCTCCCTCTCTGAAACTGGATCTCAGCAGTTTAGTTTAGTGTTTAGCTGTGGGTGTCTGCTTCTGCTTCCATCAGCTACTGGATGAAGGCTCTAGGATGTCATATAAGGTAGTCATCAATCTCATTACTGGAGAAGGGCATATAAAGTAGCTTCTTTACCCATCCCCTCAATCTTCTGGGGGCCCATTCCTGACATCCAGAGGACCTGCCCACACAGGAAAGGCATCAGTCTTTACAGACTCCAACCTCCAGTGTCCCCACCTTCAGGTGAGCTTAGGTCCCCGTGCAACCACTCCCCCATCCATCACCCACTCCCTCAATCTTCCAGGGCTGCTCCTGGCAGCCAGAGGACCTGCCCACACAGGAAAGGCATCAGTTCTTCAAGACCCCACCCTCCGGCATCCCCAGCTTCAGATCCCACCCTTCAGCGTCCCCACCTTCAACTTCAGGAAAGGAGACTAGTGGAGATAGAAAGACCCCACCTGCACCCACTGGAAGAAGAGATGGGAAGAAGACAGAATAAGAGCTCACTCAGCAATAGAAAGACCAACATGACTCCACCAGAATCTAGAGACCCAACACCAGCAAGACCTGAAAAGCACTACATAGATGAAGCAGAAGAGACAGACCTTAAAAATTATTTTATGAAGATGATAGAGACCCTCAAAGAGGAAATGAGGAAATCCCTTAAAGAAATCAAAGAAAAAAAACAAACAAAATACATGAAATGGAGGAAAAGGTGAACCAAAAAATTCAAGAAATAAACAAATCTCTCAAAGAATCTAAAGAGTGTCAAGAAAAAACAACCAAACAAATGAAGGAAACAACTCAAACAGTTGAAGGCTTGAAAGCTAAAATAGAAAAAATAAAGAAAACACAGAATGAGGGGATGCTGGAAAGAGAAAAGCTGGGACACCGTGAAGAAGCCAAACCTGAGAATAATAGGTATAGAAGTAGGAGAAGAAATACAGCTCAAAGGTACAGAAAACATATTCAACAAAATCATAAAAGAAAACTTCCCTAACCTAAAGAAGGATATGCCTATGAAAATACAAGAATCTTATAGAACACTAAATAGGCTGGACCAGAAAAAGTCACCTTACCAAATAATAATCAAAACATCAAACCTACAGAACAAAGAGAAAATATTAAGAGCAGCTAAAGAAAAAAGGCCAAGTAACATATAAAGGCAGACCTACCTGAATTACGCCTGACTTCTCAATGAAAACTATGAAAGCCAGAAGTTCCTGGACAGATGTCATACAAATGCTAAGGAAATAAGAATGCCAGCCCAGACTAATATATCCAGCAAATCTTTCAATTACCATAGATGGAGAAAACAAAATATTCCATGACAAAGCCAGATTTAAACAATATGTATCCATGAATCCAGCTCTACAGAAAGTGTTGGAAGAAAAACCTAAACCCAACGAAGATACCTACACACAATAACTCCACTACCAATAAATCAAGCACAAACAAGAATCATCAATCAATGGTCATTAATATCTCTCAATGTCAACGGTCTCAACTTGCCTATAAAAAGACACAGACTAGCAGAGTAAAGTGTTGGGAAAACATTTTCTAATCAAACGGACCCAAGAAACAAGCGGGTGTAGCAATCCTAATATCTAACAAATAAGACTTCAAATTAAAAACAATCAAAAGAGATGAAGAAGGACATTTCATATTCATCAAAGGAAATGTCCATCAAGATGAATTATCAATTTTGAACATCTTTGCCCCAAATACAAAGGCACCCACATTCGTGAAAAAAACATTTCTAAAGCTCAAATCATACGTAAAATCTCACACACTAGTAGTAAGAGACTTCAACACTCTGCTCTCACCGATAGACAGGAACTCCAGACAGAAACTTTACTAAGAAACAAAAGAACTAATAGAAGTTATGACCCAACTGGGTATAACAGACATCTATAGAACATTCCAACCATCACAAAGGGATATACCTTCTTCTCAGCACCACATGGAACATTCTCTAAAATTGACCACATAATAGGAAACATAGCAAACCTCCACAGATACAAAAATAAATGGAATAACCGCCTATGGGCATCCTGATGGTATGTCAGGGGAGTGTAGAAGCCGTGTGTGTTTGTGTGTGTGTGTGTGTGTGTGTGTGTGTGTGTGTGTGTGTGTATGTGTGTGTATGTGTGTGTGTGTTCTCCTGGGAGCCTGGTGATAATGGCATGGCCTGAGGTTTTGCCACTCTCACAGTTTCCAGGAAATGCCACTTCTTATCTCAGGTAGTCACATGTTGATCAGCTTATCTCCTGGCCACTGTTTTAACCTTGTCATATTGGAGTGCCCTGTAGAGTTTTAAAGCTATCCTGAGGTTGGAACTCCTCCCTGAAATACTGATTGTGGGCTCTGGTCCTCTGTGTAGCAATAGGCACACAGGAATGAAAATCGCTGTTCTGAATACAGTGGAAATGTGATCAGATGTTTGGTGGGCCCATATTTGTGACATGGATTCCTAGGAACTTCTAAGAGAGCTAACCTATAGCTCCAAGCCTAGAGAGGGTACTCATGCAGCCGTGGATAACTCCCTATGGACCCGCTGGCACTCCTAGCCTGGGGACAGGATAGGAAGTATAATAAGTGCCAGGAGGCCCCAATGTATAGGGGCTAAGCTGTGGCATCCACTGGGTTGTGGTGGTCAAGGACAGCCTGATTTCATATGATCCTTGAGACCTGTGTTAATGGGGTTCTTTTCTCCTGGAACCATGCCCTACCCCAGGCTGAATTCTTTTGAGATGATGAAAAAGGAGCATAAGCAGGTGATGTCCGACCTTCAGAAATTGCCCCTGGAGATCAGTGATGCCTTGAACAAGTGCAAACAGCTGATTGAGGAAAAGGAATCCTACAGATAAGTGCCTGATATATTTTGTGAGGAGCTTATTCTGCTCTCTTTGTCTTTGATTCAAAGTAAGGGCTTATCCTGGCCTGTCTGCCTTTTAGCATCAATTGCCTTATGGCCCTTGGACATGTGCCTCTACAATTTTTTTGGTAAGTGTGAAAAAGACAATGAGGCCCTCCCAGTGACGTCCTAGGTAGGAGCCCATACATTAAAAAAATGGTATGCACCGTGAAGGGGATTCCAGGCAGCCCAGGGATTCTCAGGCTCTGGTTTGGCTTCACAGAGACTATGTAGATAGAATTAACTCTGGTGGGGACATTTGCTCTCCCCAGAGAGTGTTTGCCCTCTACTGTTGATGCTTTTCCAATGTCATGAACAGGTAAGCACAGGCAGGGGCTTCCTCCTCTTCTCTGGGGGCACAGTAGAGCTTTTGTTTTCAAATGCAGTTTGAAAATATCTGGAATTTGCTTATTATCTGAATTCGGTCTGTCAATGAGTGATGCTGAAATCACTATTGTGAATTCCAGTCTTGGGCTGTCTGGGGAACAGGGGCTTTTCAGTGGGGTTGTATTTGGAGATATGAATGGCAAATGGAGGCTGGCTGGGGCTTACCATTTTTGGAAGTCTGTTCAGTTACTTCCATAGCCTCATCCTATGAGATTTGACTCCAGTGAAAAACAACATCCATGAGTTGAGAATGGAGAAGAGAAAGCTGTGGGAGGAGCAGACTGAACTGCAAGAGACCTGTAAGGAGGTTAAGAAGGTATTTAAAGAGGTCAGGAGAAGATTTGCATTCCCTGTATTGAACAGCATCAGATATAGACTGAGGTAATAGGGGCATAGTCCACATGTCCCACCATGAACATAGAGAAACCCATGTAACCATGCACCCACCCAATTTGTTCCACCTAATACCATCCAATTGTTCATTTCTATAATCACAAGTTTCTCTATAGAGTTATTCTCTTGTAAGAGATTGAATGATTGGCAAGGAAACTCTCCTGCTCTGCTAAAATCCACAGTACATTCAGAGAGATGGGTCAGTCACATATCACAATCTATGTGCTATTATATCAGGAGGGCTGCTATGCAGGGAGCTACTTAGGGATTGACACAGAGCTTTCATGGATGAGGTCAGGGCCTGTGGCTCATTTGCTTTCCACGGGTCTCATAAAATCACAGGTAGGAATCAGTTTGCAAGGACTGGAACCCAGTGCCAATGCCAAGTGAGTGGTTCTCACTGTCAACTCTAGGGGTATGATTGTCTCCTTTCTGACTGCACCCTAATGCATTTTGTTACCTTTGCCCAACTCGTGGTTCAAACTGACAGACCTGAGTATCATCTTGTCAAGGACAAACGCTGGCCTAAGTATCTGTCTTCAAGAAAAGGAGGATTGCTTGATGAATGACCTGAGCATTCTGGGATAAGGGAGTGCATCGGTAAATACAGTTCTAGACATAAGAAATCTCTCTCTCTCTCTCCAACTCTTATTCTCTCAAACACATATACATATATACATCACATACAGATTTAAATATGAAATAATATTGTATATACGATAAAATTTGAAGTATCATATGTAAACTATGGTAAATTTGAAGATAGAAAACAGTATTAGTAGTGTGTATGAATACCATTTGATATCTCAGCACTAAAATGCACTTGACATGACACATTGATGATTTATGTGTCTGAGTCCCTCACAGGTAGAGAACACTTAAGCAGAGGCCTCACTGGTTAAGGATGCAACCACAAGGTGGCAGTAGAGCTCAGCTGCTGGGGAGAATGCAGAGGATTCTCTTCCTTGTGTGCTGGTTGTGCAGTCTCAGGACAGAAACACAGTCTTTTTCTCAGTGCTGAGTGGATGACACTAGTGGTAGCATTGTTTCTGATGAAGAAAAACACCCTGGTAGCTTTAACTGACCTACTAGATCTATACTGGATCTTAATTCAATCGTGAAGAACAATGAAGATATATGTTCCAATTTTATTAATGTTTCTATGGCTGCAGCTGGATGGTGAGTTAAGATTTTTGGAACATAGAATTCTCGGTGGGCATTTCTGAGACATCTAAGAAACTCATTTTATTCAAGTTTTCTCTAGTTACTGTATAAAAAAGGAATCCTGGGTAGTGATGACCTGACAACCTTTCTCTTTTCTTTCCATCTTTCTTCACAGGGGTGAGCCAAGGCGAGCAGCTGGAACAGCATCCTTCCACCCTGAGCGTCCAGGAGGGAGCCAGCGCTGTCATCAACTGCACTTACACAGACAGTCTCTCATCCTACTTTCCTTGGTATAAGCAGGGCCCTGGAGAGCATCCTAAGCTCATTATTGACATTCGATCAACTATGGAGAGAAAGCAGGACCAAAGACTGATAGTTTTACAGGACAAGAAAGCCAAACACTTCTCCCTGCACATCACAGACACCCAGCCTGGGGACTCTGCCATGTACTTCTGTGCTGCAAGTGCACACTGCTCCCCAGGCACCTGCAGCCTGTTCTCAAACCTGCCACAGGGCCTGGAGCCCCATCCACATCCTGTGTCACAGGCCTTCCTGTGCAGCATTTGTCAGTTGTTAGTTGTCAAAAGTCAATTATAGTGTAGACATTAAATACACAGAAAAGAAAGTTAGCTTCAAGTCACTCCAAACAATTTAGGAGAAATTTCTCCTTTTGTTTTTAAAAATTATTCTAAAACTTGAAATACAATTTTGTCATTCCCTGCCTGTAATGCAGCACTGTACTTCAGAGAAGATGAGGTTGTAGCAAACACAGCCACAGGTGGGATATCTCCATTACACACCCTCCTCCCAAGGTCACTGAGAAAGAGGTGCAGAAAGGATGCCAGAACCATAGTCAGGGGATGAAACAAAGAGACAGTGTTTCCTGGCCACATCAGGGCAGCTGCACACATGAACTTCCAGAGGTCTACATCATGCATAAGACATGCAAAGGTTCAGGCCTGACACAATTGCAGCAAGCAGAGAGAAGGTGGGCATTCCACCCTTAGTCAAGAAGCTATGGGCAATTGGTACCTGTTGGGAGGATTCATGCTTCTTTATTGGTGCAGCACTTGGTGCATAGACTACCCTCCACTGAAGGCCACACATCTGAGAATATATGAGCTGTGCAAACCTTGATGTGTTTATTTTAAAGGAGCAAGGTAACTAGGTTGGTAGGGAGAGTGGATGGATCTGGCAGGAGTTTGGGAGGCAGGTGTTCATAATGAAAATCCATTGTATAACATTCGCTAAGAAATAATAAAATGAAAAACTTATTGAAATTGCATTATATATATGTATGTAATTTTATGTGTGTTTATCATTCTAAATACCATAGGATACATACAGTTCAGTAACGCTGGTGATTGTAGGCATCCACTGTGGGCATGAGACCTGCCTCCTTTGGGTAAGATTTCAAGTTTATTCACAGTGTGCTGTGCAGATATCTGTGGTGCAGTTTGAAGGGAAACCAGCAGAGGGCGCTGACTCTTCAGATGTGGTTAAAGTCTCATCAGGTGGTGACTTCACATGACAGACTGTCACTGTGCAGAAGGAGGTCTTTGTTTATGAGTGAGGAGTTTCAGTAAGGTCCCGAGGAGACTTGTATTATGATTTTGGTGAACTGAAGAACTAAGTGTCATTGTCTTCTGTGAAAATGCTTCCTGACACCTGCCCAGTTCTGCTGCTCCTCTTGATGCTTGGTGAGTTACATTTACCTAAGTGTTGATGACATCATCTTCTCACAGCTGTGGGAGTCCTTACCTTCTTCCTCACATAGAGAAGCGATTCCTCTTTATTTATTTATTTAATTTTTTATTTTCAGGAAAAATCAATGGAGATTCAGTGACACAGACAGAAGGCCTGGTTACTGTCACAGAGGGGTCGTCTGTGATGCTGAACTGTACCTATCAGACTGCTTATTCAGTTTCTACAGTTCTCTGGTACGTGCAATATATCAGCAAAGCCCCTCAGCTGCTCCTGAGAAGCTCCACAGACAACAAGAGGACAGAGCAGCAAGGGTTCCACGCCACTCTCCATAAGAGCAGCAGCTCCTTCCACCTGCAGAAGTCCTCAGTGCAGCTGTCAGACTCTGCCCTGTACTACTGTGCTGTGAGTGACACAGTGAGGGAGATGCAGGGGAAGCTGCACACTAACCAAGGTGCAGGAGGCTGAGGGGAGGGGCCCTGTGAGGGAGGGCTGTGTGACTCTCTCAGTGGGGTTTACCTAGCTTTCTGAAAAACAGCACCAGAGTTCAGGGCAAATTCCTATAGCCCTAGGGATCTGTGGATTTTCTCACAGGAAAGATGGAAGTCATTGCCAGAGACAACACAGCCTGACTCCACAGTGACACACTTCTTCCAACATGACCACATCTATTCCAACAAGGCCACAACTCCTAGTTAGTGCCACTCTCTGTGAGATTATGGTGTCCAGTTACACTCAAACTGACACAATGGCTAATAACTACTTAATAAATGAGTACATATTTAGTTTGTGTTTCTAAGTCTGGGTTATCTCACTCAGGATTTTCTTTTCTAGTTCCATCTATTTGCCTGAAATTTTCATGAAATCATTGTTTTAAACAGTTAAGTAATACTCCATTGTGTAAATAAAAAGACTGGTTATTTGAAAGTTACACTATGATTTATAATGTGATACTAAAATAAGATCTTGGGGATCAACAAGAAAGCAAAGATTATGTTTCAATACTGCTGGGTTTTTTTGTTTTGTTTTGTTTTGTTTTTTGTTTTTTGTTTTTGTTTTTTTTTTTTTGGTTTTTCAAGGCAGGGTTTCTCTGTGGCTTTGGAGGCTGTCCTGGAACTCACTCTGTAGACCAGACTGGTCTCGAACTCACAGAGATCCCCCTGCCTCTGCCTCCTGAGTGTTGGGATTAAAGGCGTGAGCCATCAACGCCTGACCATAATACTGCTGTTTTTATGTGTCAGGTTGACAAGGGGTCAGTTGTGATGGCTAATTTTTTCAGTTGGACACGAACTAGAGACAACCAGGAAAAAGAAACCTTAATCAAATAATTTTATTTCTTCTAATTGTTTGCAGAAATGTTTGTGGATATTTTCTTCATTAACAATTGACAAAATAGGACCCAACCTACTGTGAGTTTCGTCATCTCTGGGCAGAAAGTCCTGGGTTGTATAAAAACAACAAGAAGATCAAGCCCGGGGGAGCAAGCCAGTAACGAGATTTCCTGTGTGTTTCCTGATACTGTTGTGGGTTGAATTCCTGACTACGATAACTTCAGTGATAGGCCATAATCAGAAATGTAAATCAATTAGATTATTTCCTTCCTAAGTTTAGTCTGATCATTACATTTACTCTAGCAGTAGTAAGCAAACTAATTTAAACACAGGAAAAGCTAACCCTATCCTGACATGGGCATTTTCATGTGTTATCCTTGAAAAACCTCAATACATCCCCCCTTTTTTGAGACTCATAAGGTTGCCTCAGTGGAAAATTCCCCAAGGTCCCTTCCCCTAGACAGGGAACAAAGTCTGATTAGAAGGAACATCTGGTCCAGAGTGCTAACAAAGGAAACCGGCAGGCTGTAGAGATGAGTGTAATTCTGACCTTGTGGTCTCTCCAGGGAGAATGAATTATGACTGTGCTTCTGACAATCCCCTATTGCTTGCCCAGATCTGCAACTGCAGTGGCTCCGCTTTTTACAATACACCTATTGCTTTGCTTGCCAAAATTATGTACATAAAAAGAAAACTGTCCTAAAGCCCAGGGCTCTCAGCTAGCAAAAGCGGCTGGAGTGCCCGCAGACGCCTGTGTAAAAACAATTAACCTCTTGCAGTTTGCATCCAACGGTCTGGTTATTGAGCCTGGGACATCACGAGGCATTCAGCCTCACAACTTCAGGTCTTTCAATCCTGTGCTGCCTAGTAGACCTATTCTGTCTTTATAATAGGGAAATTTCCTCTTAGCTCTTTTTAATGTATGTTTGTGTATAAGCTTCTACAATGGAGAAAATTTTAATTTGATCCTTTCTTTAATTTTTTAAATTATTATAATTATTAGCACACATTAATTGCATGAAATAGTGGGTTTCTTATACAATTTAAATAGATTTGTTTTTATTGATATCTTCATATTCATCCTGCCTTCACCATCTATTTTCTACTTCTGTTCTCCTGTCTTCATTGCCCTTACACTTACTCATTTGTATACCTTCTATTTTCAAACCATATTTCTTTCATTTCATTGCCATTTCTTCTTTTTTAATATTTCACACATGAGAACACATGTGTGCTGTTTGTTTCTGTATGACTTTCAATACCACCCTTTCTGTAGATGGCTCAAGTTCATTTAAACTGGCAGTTCAGCATTACTCTGTTGCTTCAGGCCCAATCTTTTATTCATTCATCCTTTGACAGGTGGTACCCAGGCTGCAGCTATGTCTTTCAATCATGGATGGTGCTGTAATAAACAGTTATGCAGGTCTCCCTTTTATATGATGACATCAATTGTCCTGGAAAAGTGCTCTTAAATTAATTATTGCTTAGTTTCTCACTCTCTTTCTCTCCCTCTCTCCCATCTCTTTTCTTTGTTTACATCTTTCAGAAAATCCACACTGCTATTCTTTGTGGCTATATCAAAACATGTTTCTAAAATATGTATAATGATAGAATTATTAGGAGCAAATTTCTGATTCTCAATGGCTGCATTTCAGTGATACTAATTTTGAGCAAAATGGAGAGGTGCTTCCTATGTCAGAAATTGCTGTAGACAAAGTGTTGGTGAGGAGTGGAGGCTAATGAAAGAACTGAGTGCCTGTGAGGATGGAGCCTGCATTGTGGCGGAGATAAAAGGCCACCTGCATTCTTCCCAAGCTTCAGTCTAGGAGGAATGGACAATATCCTAAAAGCATCATTTGTGGTCCTAGCCCTTCATCCAGCCTGTGAGTCATGAAGGAGAAACCACAGGATGTGGGATTAATGTGGAGGCATGGGAGACTGGCGTACCAGACAAAATCATAAATGCTGAAACCATAAAGAGCAAGAACAGACCTGGGAACCTAATGACATTTGTTATGTCTCTACACAGGGGTGAGTCGTCAGCAGAAGGAGAGATGTGACCAGCAGCAAGTGAGACAAAGTCCCCAATCTCTGAGAGTCTGGGAAGGAGGGACTTCAGTTCTGAACTGCACTTATGAGAACAGTGCATTTGACTACTTCCAACGGTACAGGCATATCCCTGGAGAAGGCCCTGCACTCCTGATAGCCATACATTCAGTGTCGAATAAAAAGGAAGATGGAAGATTCACAGTCTTCTTCAGTAAAAGTAATAAACAGCTTTCCCTGCACATCACAAATTCTCAGCCTGGAGACTCAGCCACCTACTTCTGCGCAGCAAGTGCACAGTGCTCTCCAGGCACCTGCAGCCCACACCCACACCTGCAGCTGAGGCTACAGGAAAACCCTGCTGTGGGTCTGAGCCTGGCAGAGGTGCAGAGCAGTTTTCATTTGCAGGAACAGGTGACTGGTGACACAGTGAATGTAAGGATTAAACTAATTCAGCCACAGACAGACCAAGCTGAAGTCATGGGTTGCTTTTCTCCAGTCTCCCTTTGCTTCTCAGGCACTATGTAGGAGAATTTGGACTCTCCCCATCCATGTCGCCATGTCAAATGGTGTTATCATGATGTTTGTTTTGCTCAGGAAACCACATCTTTGATATTCTTGGGAACATTTCCCTTGTAATATCTATGGAAAACTTTATAGATATTGACATTACTGTCCTTTGGCTTTTATAAACTTTCTGCCACCTCTTCTATGATTCTCTTGAGACTTAGGTGTAGGGTTACATTGCAGATGTCTCAGTTGGGTTTGATACCATATTGTCACATATTCTTTGTATTTTGTCCACTTGTGGATGTCTGACCTGTGGTTAACAGGATGTACACAGATTTGTCTTTGGAGATAGTCGGGACTGTTAATAGGTGTGGGGAGGACAATATT